CCCAATTAAGGTGCTTATAACTGTACTTATTAAGTCCCACGAACCTCCAGGTAGGGTTTGAGGGTTTAGGGTTAGGGTTTTTTTTTTCAGGGTTTGTGGTTTTAGGGTTTGAGGGTTTAGGGTTGGGTTTTTTTTCAGGGTTTTGTGGTTTTAGGGTTTGAGGGTTTGGGGTTAAGGGTTTTTTCTGGTTTTATGTTTTTAGGGTTTGAGGGTTTAGGGTTAAGGGTTTTTTCAGGGTTTATGGTTTTAGGGTTTGAGGTTTTTTAGGGCTTTCAGGGTTTATGATTTGAGGGTTTTAGGGTTCCGAGGGTTTAGGGTTTCAGTGGGTTTCCGTTCTTCGGCTAATGTAGGGGCCTAAATGATTACCGATACTATTTTGCGGGGTTCCTTATTATGATTTTGGTATAATGAGCCGCCAAACCCTATTGAAATTATGAAGGCTCCTATATAAGACGCTATGTTGGCTGAAAGGAAACCGTACATTGAGCAACCATGGACAACCTCATGAGCGAGTTGTATCAGAAGCAGTTTGTTACAAAGGCCTAGGGTTTTAGCCATGTCCCACCATCCGAACCCTAGATGCTGAGTCTCGGATGTGATCAAAGACTTTTCCTAGACCTCAAAGCTTGAACCAAGCCCAGACCCTAAACCCCAAACCCCAAGGACTAAACCGAGACTAAACCCTAAACAAACCTTAAACCGTGAACCCTAAACCCTAAACCCTAAACCCTTAAACCCTTAAACCCTAAACCCTAAACCCTAAACCCTAAACCCTGAACCCTAAACCCTAAACCCTAAGCCTCTAACCTGGGCCCTCAATCGACGCCAAGGTTTACAGCTGGAGTCGCATGTCCTCAGCTGATCCAGGTCTGCCTGCTTCGTCTGTTTGACGGGGTCCTTAATGAATAGAATGGGGGCTTTAGGGTTCAGGGTTTAGGGTTTAGGGTTTACGGCTATAAGGTTTTTTTTTGGAAAGGGCTTACTGGGTTTATACTTTCGGGGCTGGTCCGTTTTCGGGTTCAGTTCTGGAATTGCGAGGCTTGGGCTGTTTGGGGCTTCAAGTAATCAGCTGTGGGCAAGCTATGATGGAAGGAATCCAGACTCATATCAACGCAAGAAGGCCCAAGCCCAGAACACAAAGCTGGGCCATAAACCCCCCAACCCCACAACCGCCAAGCCCCAAAATCTGCGCCTGCCCTTTGGTCCAGGTGTCGTAAGTGCAGAAAAAGATCGGATGGTCGCCAAGATGGAGGCGAAGTGGGGTTTGGGTGGCTTATGAGAAGAGTTTCATCTCGGGGGTTTTACATAATATAGGGGCCTGGAATAATTAGAATAAGGTTTTGGGGCCCATTATGTACTATAACTATAATAAGGAACCCCGCAAAATAGCATTGGTAATGGGGGGTTTCCGAAAATAGGGGACCCTAATATGGTACCCTAAGTAGAAGAATCCTTATTATAAAGGCCCCAAAATATGGTACCCCTAATTTTTGGAAACTCCCAATTATTTAGACCCCTACATTAGGATTGAAACTTCTCTGCTGCTTGTGAGCTTCTCAAGTGCGCCTTCATGAACCGTTGCGTTTTAGGGCTGGAAGGCCGAGAGGGTTCAGAGGCAATACAGTTTGGGTTTAGGGTTTAGGGTTTAGGGTTTAGGGTTTAGGGTTTAGTGTATGCAACTTTCGAAAAATCTGGTGACGATGTCTTCCAGTTGTGGATGATAAGCAGCAGCTGCAAGTTTTCTTTGAATCCACGCGCACGAACTCTAAACCCTAAGCCCCGAAGCCGAAGCCCTAACCCAAATACCCTAACATCTAAGTCCCAAGCCCAACAGCCTCTATTTTTCAGGCCCTCCTTCCCCGCTTTCACGCTCTGTGTATTGGCCCGGGTCTTGGTCGAGCGTCCTGGCTGCACAATCCCCTCATCACCCTCTGTAAAGCTGCATGTCTTGCCACGGCATCTGAATATGCTGTTCGCTCGGTAATGCCTTTGCCTGTCGTTCTTGCTCTTGTTTCAGCTACTGAGCCGTTATCCTTGCTCCAACTTCCATGAATGTACTCTTGTTGTGGTCATTGAGCGAACGTCTTCTCCTTGTGAGAAGTTTTCGTTCACAATCAGCCTCCAAATTGTGCATGTACCGGCGTGTGTCAAGATAGATAGATGGACATGCAGATTAGGTAGACAGGAAAGCAGGTGCGTACAGAAAGATCCGTAACGGGCTCTTAAGGCAAGTTCATAAAGTCTGAGTCTGAACATCGCAACTGCCCCTGCTAGGACAACACACTCGAAGCCAAACCCACCCCCCGCAAATGAGCAAGGACGACCGTGTATTGGATGCGGTGGCGCGAGTGATCACGGCTGCTAAGGCTCCGGGGGAGAGGTACAAGTGGTAAGCAGATGGGACGACGATTAGAGCAACAACGAAAAGAGCAGGACAGACAACTGCAATGATGATCATCGCGATGCTGAGAGAAAGCAGTGGGAACCATGGCAATCGCAAAACGAAGTACCAACAATGGCATCAAAGGAGGTCCACTTCCCGGAGTACTTATCCATCACGACAATATTCAACAGAACATGGGCGTGAGTATTCCTCGAAGAGACGATGTTGTTGGTAGTGATAGCGTAATGCTGTTGGCAGAGCATTAGTAAGCTTGACGATGACCATGCTGATGGCGGTGAGCAACCCCATTGGTGATGCAAGATGTGGAATATCCCCTGAGCCGTCATCACCTAACATCAGCATTACGTACGTCGTCATCGTCATATGCGTAATTTCGTCATCACTGTCAGAGGCACGGCTACCACCACCACCACCACCATCATCGTCATGCTTGTCTGTCATCGTCATCGTTATCGTCATCGTCGTCATCATCGTCATCGTCATCCTCCTCCTCCTCCTCATCATCGTCATCGTCACCAGCATCGCCATCATCACGGTCATCATCATCTTCATCTTCATCTTTATCTTTATATTTCTCTTTATCTTCATCACCATTGTCATCGTCGTAGTCGTCATCATCATCGTCATCTTCATCGCTATCATCGTCGTCGCCGTCGTCATCATCATCATCATCATTATCATCACCACTCAGCGGATATGTTGCATTCTAGGTCTTCCCTACCAGCAAGATCATCATCGCACCGTCTCGTAATCGCCGTCCTATCACCATCTCCAACGCTACCATCTCTGCAGGTCACGTCATGATGATGCTCGCACTGAACAATAGTCAAGATTAGGAAGAAGACCCCGCAATAGCCATGTGAGGGTGACAGGGGCCACGACCATGAAGATGATGGTGAGGACAGAAAGACTCGCATAGTTGGTTTGCCGGTTGTAATGTGTTGTGTATTTGTTTCTGAGGGCGGGACGACCTTTCTATGAACCTTAGTCTTCAGGCCTTTGAATTGGAAGCCCAATTCTACAACAAATTCAATCAAGCCAGACCACCGCACACTGTAAGTACAACTCCCGAGCTCTGCCGCACCCCCGAAGCTGCAATTCCCGCCACCTCCCTGAATGCCTGCGCCGCACACTCTCGATCCGAAACTCTGAAAAATTAGCGACATCTCTGAACCTTCAACCCTACATCGCAAAGCCCTCGCACCCTAGGCCGTAAATCTTAAGCCCCAAGCCCCAAGACCCTAAACCCTAAACCCTAAACCCTAAACCATGCCGCAAGCCCTCAAGATCCGAAGCCAACGTCCCTTTCAGGCCCGCGCTGTGCCCCTGGTCATCGATGCAGATGGGCTGTGGCTCATTGAGCGTCGCCCCGAGTTAGTGCAAGGCCAGGCTTATAAGGGAGCAGGGTTTCAAGTTAAAGTTTAAGGCTCTATGGCCTGCCTAAACCCTAAACCCTAAACCCTAAACCCTAAACCCTAAACCCTAAAAGATCCATTGCCTAAGTGTTTCAGTGATTGGTGCGCGGGTGGTGGGGAGGGGGGGGATGCTGGGAGCCGGCTGGGGGTGCGAGCTCCGGGGTTTGCCGTCGCAAGCTTTGAGTGCTTTTCGGTCCGAAAGCCTTGGCGAGAGAAACCCTTTAGGGGTTTAGGGTTTAGGGTTTAGGGTTTAGGGTTTAGGGTTTTGGGTTTAGGGTTTAGGGTCCGCACTTCTGGAATGTTGGAACATTGAGTCAGAGGTCAGAATGTTGACCGCCAGAGGTCTGAAACTGCACAGCTTAATCCTCAGAACCCTTAAACTCTAACACCATAGTAGCCCCAAGCTTCTAAAACTTCCAAAACCTAACATAGAAGCCTGACTCAGTACCGATGCCATTCCTCGATTCCTCCGGGTTCCTGGATACAGTTATACTAGAACATACCGACCCCGAGCCCTTTTTCTAATTGTTCACCCCCTGTATTACAGAACCTTTGTCGAACACCTCAACTAAAAGGAACCCTTTAAAGGAATCCTTAGTCTGATTACTCAGGCCTCTATACTAAACATATTATAGGGGGAAAAATATTATAGGGGGAAGAAATTCTTTCCCTATAATATGTTGAGTCTCCGTCAGGCTATGCCAACGCCGTGCTGACGCCGAATGCCGCAGAGTTCAGGCGCCTGGCCAAAGCGGTCCTCGGCCGAGAGGACAGTTCTTCGTCAAGTACCACGGTCATGGGGTTGGTTTAGGGTTTAGGGTTTAGGCAGGGTTCAGGGCTCAGGGTTTAGAGGCAGCAGTCGGTAGTTGCTCGTGTAGCTGCTGGTCGTTGTCGCGGCGTCGTCGCACCGTCGTCGATGACGACTCCGCCAGCATCGTCGTCGTCGCCGTCGTCTCGATCATCATCGTCCGAGGCTACCCGTGATTCGTACTTATGTAAATGTATTTGACGGCGACCATGCCGCAATTAACAATGCCAGTCATGGTCGTGGTCAATGGAGAGCAGGGAGGGTCGGTGCTGATGTTAAGGGCCGAGGGTGCGAGTCTTGTTCAGGTGTGATGCTTAGACCTACTTCAGCATGTGGAAGTGCTTGGCCAGGCGTTGCCTCATGCGCACTCCTGCCTTACCCACACCTCGGACCCAAGCAACGGCTGAAGTGCCTGCTGAATCGGCGAGGAAATAGCGAGGCCAAACGTTTCCTTTCTTCTCTGTTGAGACATCGGGCATCGCTTCAGTGTTCCAGGACGTCAATGTCCTCGAACTCTGTACGAAGATGGATGGACCCATCATCGTCCAGAAGGAATCCGGCTGGGGCAAGATCAGGGCGTGCCTTCTGAGCTTCCTCCGTCCCGCCAACGTCTTGCAAACCCCAGGAACTGAAGCCTCCAACAAGCATAAGGCACCCCTAAGGCACCCTCCGCCCCGGAGTCCCGGATCCCCAGAGCTCGAATCTTTATAGCAGATCTCTGAAAGGCTTGGGGACCTCGAACCCACACCCAGAAGCCGCAAGTTGCCAGGGTGCTGTAGACCGCATCGGGCGACCCAAGCTGGAGAAGGCAGAGGGGCCAAGGCTAAGGCTAAGGCCAAGGTTTCAAGAGCAGTCAGCAACAACTGACTGGACATGTCTGTCAGTATAGTCAGCAAGTCGCTTTGGGTAAACACAGCTCCGAGCGTCGTTGCCGTTGTCTTTGCACGCTTCTTGTGCTGCATGTTTTGGGGTGGCGGATGTGCTGAATTCGCATTGCTTGCTAGGTGTTGTAGTTTCGTTCAGGTTTCGAAAAAATTGACTGCATGTGCTTTCAGAGTGGTGTGTAATTTCAGTCCTTTGGGTTCCCTGGAATGTCTGCAGTATAGGCTACTCCCCACATCTTAGTCGAATCATTCGGGCGGTTATATTGGATGCTAGGCTAGATGTGCACTGAAATCCTGCAGTCCATCGCAAGGCAAGATCAACCCCTGGGTGCAGGCTTTAGGGTTTGGGGTTCGGCTTCAATGCTTGGTGTTTGGGGTTTGGGGGTGTAGGATTTGGGGTTCAGGGTTGAGGGATGTTTCTGGAATTGCAGAGCTGCAGAGCTTGAAGCTACCTTGCTTGCAGGCCCTGGAATGTGCAGAGGAGGGTGCTCCACGTCGGCCAGGCGTGGTAGGGAGACGAAATGATTCAATCCGACTTCCCTAAACCCCAAACCCCAAACCCTAAACCCCAAACCCTAAACCCTATATCCCTAAACCCTAGAACCTGAACAACCGTAATGCCCTCAGTTTGTTTTCGGAGTGCCGACATGCCCTGATACGCTGAAATCGCAGAGCCCCACAGCCTCAAAGACGAGACGATCATGCTAAGCACCATACTTCATATTCGTCATTCTGTCTACCGCGTTCTTTGCAAACATCGTGGTCCATCCTGCACGGCAGCCCTCGACTTCTGCAAAAAGCAGGAAGCAAGTGCGGGTATAGAGCGCAGCCCAAAACCCTACATTCCTTAACCCTACCCTAAACCCTACATTCCTTAACCCTAAACCCTAAACCCTACATTCCTTAACCCTAAACCCTAAACCCTACATTCCTTAACCCTAAACCCTACATTCCTTAAC